TGGGGGCTGTAATAGGAAGAAGAGGAGAGGGAAAAGGGAAAATGGAGGCAGTGGGCATAGGAAGCCTACAGAAAATGTCAGGAAGAAATAAGCAGCTGAAGGAGGACAGGGACAAAAGCAAATTTGTTTCTAGGTGTTCCTGTTGAGAGAGAATGTTTGCACTCCAGAGAGGAATGAGACATGAGTGTTTGGTCTCCTCCAGCAGGTCGCATCCCRATGCAGCTTCCAGCTGGGAGAAAATCAACGAGCGGGTGCGGAGTCTCCTCACGTCCGCACAGGCCAAGCAGCGGCTCTCCTCGGTGAGCGTCCGTGCGGCAGCTCAAGAGGCACCAGGGGTGACGTGACAGCRTCTCCGGGGTCCAGGCTTGTGGCCCCTCCACCCAGGAGCCCGTACACGGGCCCGTTTGGGGTGTGCACCCCACAAGGTGCAGGCCAGTCTCAGCTAGGCAGTGTTTCCTCGCTTCCCTGCTTCCGAGTGCCACGGTCGGGAGGTCAGCAGGGGAGTCTCGGGTTCCCACTTGTGAATGAGCACAGCACGGTGCCAGCGGCACGGGAAGGAAAAGGATGGTGCAGGTGGACACCACGTAGAGTGAAAAGCCAAGTATCCAAACAGGCTCTCGGATTGCTGTGCTGTAGGGATAAGAAGGAGGAACTGCCAGCTGCAAAGGGCTTCTGAAATGAGGAAGGCAGCCAGGGAAGCACAGAAGCTTTCTGGGCTGGTACTGCTGCTGTGGTTAATTTTGAACGGCCTTAGGGACCTCAGGAACACGTAACTCGGCAGCTGTTTCTTCACCAGATGCTGTAACTAGCAAGAGAACTGGTCTCTGAGAGCAATTGGGCTCGATTTGTGCTCTTTACCTCGCTCCAGTAACACTAGTGGGTCCATCATGACGTTTCCTTTCCTGACAAACCATGCGTCTCTCTTGCTCCCAGCTTCCGAAACGGTTACTCAAATACCCTGCTGCTCCCACAGGAACATGTGCCAGGCTTCCTCACTCCCCCACTGATTTCAGAATCCGTGACAAAACTAAGCCCAAGATACATATTTCACACACAGGGGAATGTGGAAGATGAAAGAAGCCTGGGATCCAGGGAAATCTGAATCACTGATGCTCCCTGCCACTCCTAGCAAGCACGTGCATGGGAGCAGCCTGCCTCCATTTACATAGGGGATTTTCAGACTGTCAGACAAAACAACTAGTAGTGGTTGGGAGTTAGAAGCCAGGGGATCCGGCATGCTTCAGGCTTTCGGCATAASGCCCCCCATTTCCCTGGGATAATTCGCAATTGTTTTGCTAATTGCTTCTGCCCATGGTCTGTCATTATGCAGATATCTGCAGTCTCCATTTGCGGTGCCYTAACCTGAAGGAGCCACCTGAAGGATGAAAGGAAGAAGGGAGCGTATGAAAGAGGATGAACTGGCTGGCGTTACCAACATTCRGACAGAACATCAGTGTTTCCTTTGGCTCTACACATGCACACACTATTTATTTAGTGCCTCTGGCACTTGCTGCAGAGGCGGGAGGCTCCCAGCTCCCTCCTGGGCTCCCAGCGTTTGAGGGGACAGGGTCAGATGCTTCCAGTGGCGCAAAGTACGTCAAAGGGGCAGCTCCCAGGGGATTTTCCACACAGCTTCCTATTTCAGCCACCAGAGCGGCGTTTGTTAATCCGTTACCTCTTCACCTAGAGCAGGGGGAAAATTCAGTATCCACTCTTGAGCTTGTTTAGCAAGGAGCTGAGGCTGAGAGGAGGCAGGAGATTGCAAAGCAGCCACTCCAGCCACAGCAGCAGGAAAGCTCTTCCCGTGAAACACTGCGCGTACCCAAGCTTCAGACAGTTCGTCCCCACTCTCTACGGGAAGCCCTACTTCTCCACTTAGCAACACCCTGTGCCAGTCCTCTCCAGAAAGTGAGCCTATTTTCACTCTCAGTTACGAAATGTAAAAAGCCCTGCCAACCTGCTATTAGAAAAGGTGCCTACAAAATAGAATAACTCTTCTTTATACCTGAAGAAATTATTTTTTCTTGAACAGTAACAGTATTGTCACTTTACACTTCAAGCTCTTTGTTTATTTGCATCTTTACTTTCATCTTCTCAAATCAAGAGAGCTGTTGCGTACTTCATTGCACTTCATTGTACTTCATTGTACTTCAGCATTTGTGTGTAACGAGGATCTGGGTTGGCTCCTTGCTGTAGAAAGATGCAAATTCTTTTCCCTTCATATGTTGCTTGCCTCAGATTTTAAGTACAAGGACGCTGTCATGTTTAAGATTCCAAAGCTACAAAAACAAAGCTAAACTATTTAAAATTCTTTTGTGTATTTATACAAAAAAAAATCTGTGAATAGAGAGAAAAAGCTATTTCACTGTTTGCATATAAGGCACTTCACCCATTCCAAGGTTAAGTAACATTGTTGATTGAAATGAACAGAAGGCCACAGCCAAGTAGCTGTGCACTGTAGAGTATCGAAGTGGAAATAAAGAATTCTCCTATTATTTTTCATTTCTATAAATCACTTCCCACAAGGTGCTGAGATGGACAGTCATTTAAAATAGCAATTTTTAAAGACTATTACTTGTTACAAGTGTCCAGATGTAACTTTTATAAATTAAAATATTAGGCTGTTCCAAGGTGATTGCAAGAGTTCCAAAAGGCCAGCACCAAGGTTAATTGGATTCTGTCATATAAAATAGCTCTGCCTCCACTCTTCCCATAAGCCAAGTCCTACACCAGCAGTGAATCAACCAAGGCTCAGCAACTGCCAACAAAATTTACCCAGGAAACAAGTCTACCTGTTATTTTCTGATGGCCGTTTTAGTTTTGAAAGAACAGGCACTAAATGATAAGACAGGGAAGGTCTTTGCGTGTAAGGCTACCATACTGTTAACAACCCACGCAACGGGACCAAAAGACACCCTTGCAGGCTCAAATGAGGACCAGGATACTGTTAATACTATACAAGTTGAAAGTAAATTTGACCAACATCACAGCACAAAGAGAATACAAATCCCTAAGCCAATTCATTATTATATTATCTAAAGATTCGGCAAAGTCCTATACCTGTCAAATATTAACCCTTAAAAATTACAGTGGCTAAGCAGATGTTTTCTACTGCATGTTAGTCTGTATTTAATGCTGTCCTGCACTTCTGGAGCAGTACTTTTTATTTTAAAGTGCATTTTTTTGCAATTCGTGGAAACTTACTAGAAATTTCTGAGAATTCAAGTCCTTTCCCAGAGGAGGAGGGCATGCTCTAAGGCTTCTAAGACAAGGTTCTCAAAGTAACTCTGCAAAAACTAGAGCTTCAGTCTTGCCAAAGCAGTGATAACAAAGGGTCTGCAAATACAAATGCACTTTTGCAGGTGCAAACAAAACTTGGGAGAAAAACACATCAAGAATGCTGTGTAGAATTGCAAACTCAGCAACTACACTATAGAATTGGGAAAATGTTGGACAATACAAAGCCCCTCAGTCTCATTGCAACTAGATTCAAGTTTTATAAMAAATCAGAGGCACAGAGATAAATGAGAAAACAGAATTAAAATACATCATTATGCAAATTAACTTAATTTTTAGATGCAAAATTGTGGTAGACCGAATCTGCTTGACCTCTGACTGAAGCAGGACTGTATAGCAGGATTACATGAATGATCAGAGAACAAAGAACTCTTCAGGGGAGAGAAGGATGAAAGAGATGAATGAGAGGCTGTTTATTCCACAAAAAACAAAGGAAATAAATTAACTTTCTATATGTACATTTGAGAGAAATAACACAAATATCACAGGGCAATGTTGGAGTAAAAAGTATGAAAATCAGTCATCCAAATGCAATCTTGAAAATTAGAAGTATCTCACCAATAAGTCAACTACACAGATCTTCTACCTATGTAATTCCACCTTGACTGCTCCACATTTAGGTTTGGGCAGAGAGGAACCTCCTGAGGTTCAACAAGGACAAGTGCAGGGTCCTGCCCCTGGGCAGGAATAACCCCAGGCACCAGCACAGATTAGGGGCTGACCTGCTGGAGAGCAGCTCCAYRGAGAGGGACCTGGGAGTCCTGGTGGACACCAAGTTAGCCATGAGGCAGCAGTGCCCTCGTGGGSAAGAAGGCCAAGGGGCTCCTGGCTGCATGAGGAGGATGTTGGCAGCAGGGGCAGGGAGGGGATCCTGCCCCTCTGCTCAGCTCTGGGGAGGCCAAACCTGGAGCACTGGGGGCAGCTCTGGGCTCCCCAGGACAAGAGGGAYGTGGAGCTTCTMGAGAGGATCCAGCGGAGAGCGACAAAGATGATTAAGGGACTGCAGCATCTCTTGTATGAGGAGAGACTGAGTGAGTTGGGCCTGTTTAGCTTGGAGAAGAGAAGGCTGAGAKGRGATCTGATTAACATGTATAAATACTTGAAGGGAGAATGTAGGGAGGAAGGGGCCAAGCTCTTCTCAGTGATGGCCAGTGACAGGACAAGGGGTAACGGGTTTAAGTTGCAACACAGGAAGTTCCATCTCCAGGTGAGGAGGAACTTCTTTCCTGTGAGGGTGCCAGAGCCCWGGCACAGGCTGCCCAGGGAGGCTGTGGAGTCTCCTGCTCTGGAGATCTTCCCAACCCGCCTGGATGCTGCCCTGTGCCCTGTGCTCTGGGTGTGCCTGCTGGAGCAGGGGGTTGGACTAGATGATTTAGAGCAACTAAGATGATTAAGGGAATGGAACATCTCTCGTACGAGGAGAGGCTGAGTGAGCTGGGCCTSTTTTCTCTGGAGAAGAGAMGGCTSAGAGGGGATMTGATTAATATGTATAAGTTCAGGAAGGGAGAATGCAGGGAGGAAGGGGACARGCTGTTYTCACTGGTGGCCAGCGAYAGGACGAGGGGTAATGGCCACAAGCTGGGGCACAGGAAGTTCCGTCTCCAGGTGAGGAGGAACTTCTTTACTGTKAGGGTGACAGAGCAGTGGAACAGGCTGCYCAGGGAGGTTGTGGAGTCTCTTTCTCTAGAGGTCTTCAAAACCCGCCTGGGGTTTTGAGTATATGTATTAAAGAACCATTTCAGCTACCTTTTCCCAAGAAGGTAGAGAATATATGATAGTAATTATGCAGTAAAGGGACTCTTATTTTTACGGACATACACTGAGAAGAGTAGTCCTTTAGATCATCAGCTCCAGGACTGTAATTCTTCAGTAGTAATTTTAAGTGCAAAATGTAAAGAAAGTAGAGACCAGAGACAAGACTCAAAAACTTGCCTTTGCATTACTAAGAAGCTAGTAAGTTCACACCTCTGTGACAGTTATATTTGAAGCCACTGGTAATCATTTAATCAGACATGCCTATGCAGTGGCAGATAGCACTGTTCAGCTGGAACAGAAGCATCTCACTGTGTTCTTCAGATCAGTTTCCAGGAGTCATTGTGCTGTTCCACCTACAGTGACAAGAAAAACTTTACTGCTCAAGAGCCAGGGTATCTGCAAGAATGTTTCATTAACAGCACTGCTGAACTATGGTCTCTGAGAAAACTATGTTTAACAACAACTTCTGAAAAACATGTTTTAATTAAGTTTTAGGACTTCAACATATCTTGATAAGCTTTTTTAGAGTAACCAGAGTGTAGGTCCCAAAAAAAGGGAAGATAACTGTGGCCATTGTAAAATGACATTCCCACTGAGTTTTAAGCGAGGGGAACTTAAGTGAGGACGCTACGATATATCTCACTGTTTCTTCATACTCTGTGTCATCTCCTGTCGGCCATCTCAACCTGATCATGCYGAGGGGATCCAGCAAGCTCAGGACACATTCCAGACTCTTTATTAACAAAAGAAGCCATGTGAGGAATTTGCTACGTGGCGAGGATATTATGCCTATCATCATGCTTTTCAGGACACCATAAGCTATTTTGTAAGCAAATGGTCAAGACTTTMCAATCTTTCTGTATATCCCCTTTGTACCTTGGACCACAGAGCCTTATAAGTGCAATTCAAGAGGTAATGGCTGGTGGAAAAGCATTGGTCAGCTTTCACTGGGGTCAGGTAAGGTAAAAAGGGCTTTAAAGCACTGGCTTTTAAATGTTTCATCAGCTATTCACATGAAATTCACATGAAAATAGGATCATACAGTTTTAGCCCTCGAGATGCTCTGGTTTCTTTCCATAAACATGACTAGTAGTCCTGCTGAAGTCCTATATTATTTTTTAATAGTAATGAAAAGCAAACCAGTAAAAATCTCTGTTAGATAAAGACTAGATGTATGTCCTAACTCTACGGCACAATCAGATAAAAGATAAAAGAGGAATTCCCTTCACCTGCAATTTGTCTGGTCTGCAAAGGAGTGAGGAGAGATAATATGAAAAAATGAGAACAGTAGTGAAAAACCTGGGGGCATAGAAAGTTGTGGGCAGTACTGTATGAAAAATGTAACACTCCTCCTTCTCTTTTTCTTTCTTTCCTGCCATTTAACTTTGTTAGAGCTGGCCAGCTCACACTCTTTTGCAAGTTTCACTGTCTGACTTCCCAAATTAATACATCSCACACACAGAAGAGTCCTCAATATTCACAGGTAATTTTCCCTGCATTTCCACTTATTAAAGCAATTGCTTCTTTATTGGGAAGTTTCCATGGGAATATTAAACATTCACCTCAAGAATGACAACCCATAAATAAGAGGTAAATATTAAATAATACTGAAAATATAAAAAGAAAAAAAAAATCTGCCATCAATATATTTTTAAAAAATTTTATAGGAATCACAAAATACCACTCTGAAAGAAGAGTTTGGAATGGAGGCCCTAAAAGGATCAGGCATGAAACATTATTATAATAAAGAAAGATTATTTTACTTAGAGACAGCAGCTAGCTGTTGTTTAGGGTCTAAAAAAGTGGCCCTAAATATTCCAGTATGTCAGCTGTCCTAATTGTTTATCCAGATTCCTCAGAACTTGATAAATACTTTCAAATGTTGCCATTATATAAGATAAAAGATATATGCTGCTTACCTTTCTTATAATAGCTTCTTAGCATTAGCTTCACTCCCTGAGTCATTAGGCTGGGAATTCCTCAGACAGACAGATCTTCTTTCAAGGACATCATCAATTTCATTCTCAGTAGCTCCCTATAAAAAAGCACCTCAAGTCAACTTCATTGCCTGAGAAGAACACAGGAAAGTACATAGTCCAAGGTAAAACTTTTCATTATTTCCCAAAGTGTCAAACCAGCTCAGGGCAACAAACACTGTTCTCTGTCCCTTATGGTCTTCTCAACAGTTAATATTAAAATTCATTTAAGAAGAATTTAATTCATTTAAGAAGGGCAATAAATGCCAAGGGAAAGACATTCACTAGAACTTTGTCTCCACCTAGAGGTTGTGACAAATATTAGACAATAAGTGAGACTTAATAAATTGGATAAAACGGCACTTYCTTTTATTACAAACTTGTAGTAACCTTAGAAGTGCTTCAGGTACACATGTTAAGTTGAAATCAACATTCCTAAGGGAAGCTGAGATCAGAAGGACAAGCTAGAAAAATACTTCTATGTGTTCTTCATAAATGACAGCCTAATTTCAGCTTCAAATTTATCCCTATTTAAATACCACTAAAGTAGAGAGAATAACAAGAAAGTACTGATCTGTTTAAGGCAAGTGTGAAATATATATATTTTTATATATTTGATTTTATGAAGAACATTGACATTCAGTGTTTGGCATAAGGCATATTAAGCAATCAAAAAAACTGCAACTGCTATCACTGCTTAGGAATGAGACAAAAAATTGCTTAATTTGGTGCAAAGCAGAGGGGACAACTTTTTCCAATAGCAGGTTGGCAGAGTTATTTTTCACTTCACAGTCGAGAGCAAAAATCCACTTTCTTGAGAGGACTGCCACACGATGTTGCGAAGTGGTGAACTAGGGCTTCTAGTACAGAATGGAAGATAAACGTCTGACATTTCAATACATGCAGTGTGCTGGAGGAAGAGCTTTCCTGCTGCTCTGTGGCCGCTGTACAGTTTCCCTCACTTGATATAGCACAGCAATCCGAGAGCCTGTTTGGATACTTGGCTTTTCACTCTACGTGGTGTCCACCTGCACCATCCTTTTCCTTCCCGTGCCGCTGGCACCGTGCTGTGCTCATTCACAAGTGGGAACCCRAGACTCCCCTGCTGACCTCCCGACCGTGGCACTCGGAAGCAGGGAAGCGAGGAAACACTGCCTAGCTGAGACTGGCCTGCACCTTGTGGGGTGCACACCCCAAACGGGCCCGTGTACGGGCTCCTGGGTGGAGGGGCCACAAGCCTGGACCCCGGAGACGCTGTCACGTCACCCCTGGTGCCTCTTGAGCTGCCGCACGGACGCTCACCGAGGAGAGCCGCTGCTTGGCCTGTGCGGACGTGAGGAGACTCCGCACCCGCTCGTTGATTTTCTCCCAGCTGGAAGCTGCATCGGGATGCGACCTGCTGGAGGAGACCAAACACTCATGTCTCATTCCTCTCTGGAGTGCAAACATTCTCTCTCAACAGGAACACCTAGAAACAAATTTGCTTTTGTCCCTGTCCTCCTTCAGCTGCTTATTTCTTCCTGACATTTTCTGTAGGCTTCCTATACCCATTGCCTCCATTCCTCTCTCTTATTAAATGCTCTCTGCTCTGTCTGTCTATGCTYCCTACCTCTTTCTGTCCTTGACTCCTCTCTCTCTCTCCTCATCATTTGTAGTGTCTCTTCCCCCACACCTGTCAATAGAGAGAAGTGTAGCTGGCTTTGATTGTATTGAAAAGGGTAAGCCATGATACACATAAGAAGCATTTAAAGTCTATTCCCACTGTCTTACTATCAGGAAGATTATATAGTTAATGGTTTAGAGAACATCTTTTGTATTTGCTTGGTAAGAAAAATATTGGTTCTTTAATAGCATATTTATAATTCTGTCAGTCAGTGATATTTAGCAAAATAATTTGAACCATGCAAATTGACAACTGTGCTGAAGATGCATTTCCCGGACAAGGAATTTTTTCTATGTTTCTTTTAAGACACTTTACAGAGAAAATGATTCACTACAGCACCATTTTTATATATCTAGAAACTAATAGTCAAATTAAGAAATAAACTCAAGAAAAATTAGTGTTCTTCCTTTTCCAGGGTGGGGAAATACATATATACTTCAATCTCTTATGGAACCACACAACTGGAAGTGAGAAGATGTATAACCAAGGGGCTCCACAGCCCACATGGAAAGCAAACGCCAGCCTAATATAGAGTGGTCAAGGAGAAACCATTTCTCCCAAAGGGACTGCTCCAGCAAAGCACAACAGCACTTCTTTAAATCACTCATATGTCCTTGTTCCGTCCCCAGGAGGAGACTGGCATGACCTGCCTTGCAGTGCTGGGCTGAGGAGTCCCAAGGAGTAGTCACAAACAGCAGTTTGGAAGGAAGGACAAAATACAGTRTCCTTGGGGACCTATGTGAGCGCTGACAGGTGGGTGCACGATGAGTGTGGAAGGAAGTTAGCATTCCTGGTGTGCTGGTGTTGCTTGGCCTGATAAACACAAACTCAAGCTGCCCCTGAAAGACGGTGTGTATGTGGGGCAAAACTCTACTCAGAGCATAGCATAATCCAGCTTCAGTACCATCAATAGTTACAGAACAATAGTTAGAGCTGTATTAAGAAAAACGAAACTGCTGTGCCCCTTTAAGCTGGAGACCTCACTCATGTCTTGCACAACTCTCACAGGGTGAGAGCAGACCTGAAAATCTGCAATGCTACCAACAAACTTATCTAACATACAACCTATTTGTTGGATGCAGGGCCTRGAAAAATCATTCATCTTAGTGTTCTGAATACCAGGTTTCTGCATGTAAAGATCTGCCAAAATGAAGGCACATTCATTGCATTGCATTCATTGCATTGTGAAATTCTCTCTTGGACACAGCAGTGAGACAACAAGAGCTTGCAACAGCTACAGCTCTTGAAGCACTTTGTCAACTGGTGCCCTAGGAAGAGGTGGCTCTCGGTAGTGTTTTTGGGGCCTGTCTCAAACTTGACCAGTTTCTATGGCTTCTTTTTCTCACTTGGCAGCGTGACTAATTTCACATCAGAAAAACTTCATTTGATTCTTGGAAGGTTCACAGAGACAGAGGAAGGTGCTGACCTGGAAGCAAGAGGACACTGCTGCACAGARGCAACAAGACCATATCTCTATGTGCAACAGTGACAAGCTTGGGCTCATTAACATCCTTATAGGATGGAAGCTTCCCTTCCTGAGGAAATGCTGAAAACCTGCATCCCATTGTGCACTGAACTCCAAATACTCAATAAACAGATAGAAAAGTTGAGTTGCCCTAAGCACATGGGAAGAAGGGGATACTGTCAGAAGTGGAAGCCTACATTCTTTTCCTCCCCAAAGCTGAAGGCCAGTTGTGTCTTGATTGCCTASAGTGACTTTGCATTCAACTCAAGAGGCTGAGCCAAAACAGAGCACAGGACCCAGGCTACACGTTCCTCCATTTGGAGAGGGGGAATCCCCCTGCAAACACCTAACTTGTTCTTGCTAGGGAACTATCTTCATCCTATCAGTTTAACCCACAAAAATGTCATCTAAACTAGCACACACAACCAGAAGCACTGGCTGCTTCTACATGAACGGATGGAAAGGGCTGTTCACCTCTGGTAGACACAAACCAAAGCATGCTAAAGGGAGAGGAAACTGCATCTAAATTCCTCTCCAGGTAAAGATCATGAGAGCACTCTACAAGCTTTAGAAACAATAATGTGAATACAATCAAAAAGAATACATTACTTGTATTTTTCTATCTAAGATGTCACTAATCCTTGGATCTGCAGCATAAAATGCAGAAAACTCTTCTGTGATAACAAAAATGTTGTATTACAATTATAACAACAATACAGATGGAACGGAAATCTCTCACTCTCTGGGCAGCTGAAAGTCCACTATCAACTAAATAGAGTTTTTCACACTGAAGTGTCTGAAGTGACCAAGACAATGAAAGAAACTGAACTGGAAGAACCATAGATTTTCCATTTATCCATACTAGATTCCTGATTAATTGCCACAATTTTTCTAATTTTTTTTTCTGAGAATCAYGCATACAATTTTTCCAAGAAGACAGAATGTGAATTCTTATCATCATTCAACTTATACTCTCGTAGAACAATGTTGCTCTGATTATGAATATATAACCTGTTTTGAAGAGGAGAGGGACTTCGAGCAGGATTTGGTGTCTTTAGCTGTTGGGAGGTAGCAGATGGAGCTGCACAGTGAAAAGCTAAATACTTTTGATTGGGAGAACACTGATGGTAACTGAAAGGTTTATCTGTTTCAAAGGACGATGAATCAGAAGGAGCCTGTTCAGCTGGCTCCCTGATAATCTGCAGAAAAAAAAAAAAAAAAAMAAGTCAGTAGCTACAATTGACATTTAACACAGAAGAAAAAAGGGAAAGAAAGGGACCAAGGAGATAAAAAATACTAGTGTTAAGCTAATTTATATTGCCAAACTTAAAAAACATAGGTAGACTCACTGTGAGGTATATGAAATGAAAGCCTTTAAAAGTGTCACCATATTTAAAAAAACATCAGAATACTTTACACTGATGAGCTGCTGACAAAAGCTTATCAAATACATTATTCTAGCCTGGAATTATCTCATTAGCAAAGGTATAAGACGCTACAGGACATACAAACAAGTTGCTGATGATTTTACGAAAGAATGAATCATATCTTTCCCCTGCATATGGAAAAAGCTCAGATGACTATCTTAGACTAGATGTCAAACCGTCTTTCACTGTAGTTTGCTTAGATAATTGCTAATTCTTGGATATAGTTGTAGTCATTCAGATGTATTAATGCAGCATACGGCAGAATACGGAACGGTTTTCAAGTCAGTTGAGGTTTTATTTTGCTAGCAGTGATGTTCCTTAGTAGCTGTATTGGGAATCCTGGATTCCATTTGCACAACTAACTCCCTCCTATTTGTGATGACACTACATTAGTTTTGCTGCTTATAGTCAAACAAGTTAAACTAGTGCTAACACAGATATAACTTTACTTGACATGCCCACAAGTGAAATGCAGGCATTAGCAAAGAGCCTTCTGGTCTACTCTCTACTTAATTAATCCTAGACCACTAATAAGATTTTTTACTAAAACGTGGTCTCTAGATATCCAGTACAGTTGGGCAGGGAAACTTTCATATAGACTAGCCCTAAAATTTTTGCAAAATAAAGGATATTCATTGAAAATAATGTGATGTGATTTTTTTTAAATACAATATTGCTTAATGCTGCAGGGCATTCATTTTTTTAGAGCCAAATTATTGGCTCCAAGATTCTCACATTTTCCTCTGAAAATGTGCCTCTGAAAACTAGCCTTACCCTTTAGCATTTTCCAAACCACCGAATTTCCTCACATAATTCTTTCTTTAGAACATATAGGCTAAACTAATAACAAAACAGATGGAATACTTCGCTTGTTACTTGTTACTTCACTTGTTACTCACCTTAACTGAGGTTTTTGACATTTCACAGTTATTAAAACTTAAAGCTAAAAAAAAAAAAAAAAGTATTTCAGTGACATTATCGGCAATTAATTTACATTGTTACTTTGACTTTCAACACATTAGCACTGAAGTAAACATGGATTCACATAAAAGGTTCCCTACAGGAAATGCTCTCTGTAAATTTTAATTATGTATCTCTATTCCAGTATTTTGATTACATCTCTCTTAGACAATAACGCCTAGGACAAAAAAAAATCAAGCTCTCTTTTCTTGAATTGTCTTCAAGATAGTTTTCTTTAGAGAGATATGCCATTCAAACGGAAAAAAAAAATCACTTTTTGGAACTTCTGCCTATATCGCTTAAATAGTCTTGGCCACAGTTTTCTAGGTATTGCTACCTGTTCATCCTAGGCAGCACTCTCCTTTGTGACCAGTTCTGCAAACAGCAAAATCTGACATGTATTTTGTACATGTACAGGTTTCTTTCAGATACTTGGTAACATCAGTGCTGGTATTAGAAAAATTTCCTTACAGATAAGTACCTCGTTTCACGTGAGATTTGGAAGAATCTCTCGCTAATTTCAAACTTTTCTTCACATTGCAGAAAGACAATGGTGAGGTTATTTCACTGAATGATTTGGAACTGTCCACCTAAATATGAAGAAAGAAAAGTAGGATGCATTTCTTAATAAATCTATGGCTAAGGATACGTATTTCCAGCCTTTATTAAAAATAATAGACTAATTCTTCCTCCCTTTCTTGCTCTCCTTCTATCCTCAAAAACAGGAAAAATAAACAGCAGTGGAGAAACATGCAAAAGGCACAGTGTAGACATATCGGCAAAACAACATCTTCTGAAAATATAGTTTGCTCTTTTTTTTTAATTAAAAGACAAAATGTACAGCAAAAAAAAATTAATCAAGTTGTAGGAATATAGAATGGTAAATTAATTCTGGAAATTAGAAATTTTCTACTCTTGTCTCCTGCACTGCTCCTCATCTATTTGCAGTGAAAATAACTCCAGATTTTTTTAAGTTAGAGATGTTTATTATTGTGAAAGAGCTTCTTCTTTTTCTCAAAAAAAAAAAAAAAAAAAAAAAAGTGTCCTAGGCTCACAAATCCTCCTGACTTCATTCCTGCGTTTAGGCATCTTTCATTTCCCCACTTCAAGCACTGTCAGATCAATTGACAGACAGTCCTGTAAGGTGGCAGCCTTGATTGATCTGGCAGCCAGTCGTTGCATTTTCTCTACTTTCCATGCTAAAATGTAAACTCTCCTGCTAGCAGTGTGCCCTTGACTGAACAGCAGTCTAATAACAGATGTGGGCTGGAGCTTTTGGAGTTCAGAAGGCTATCAGTGTATAACAGTACGTTATATATGCACGGTGTACGTTACCGTACCGTATATATGTACGTTATATTTGCACGGTGCGGTGGATC